CCTCCGGTGGAAAGACCTTGACTTTTGAATCTTTCTCCTTCTTCAGGAAGCGCTTCAAGTTCAAGAATTCAGTGCTGACCACTTCATCCTTCAAGTGAGCGAGCCAGCTCTCATCCAAGGTATCGATTTCCAGCTGCAATAGTTCCTTTTGTTCTGGTGTCAGGGAAGCAACCCATTTTGCCTTATCAAAGCTGCTTGACCTTGGAATTGGTGTTGAAGTTGATTGATTGCTCGGGGGTTTGGGCTTTGGAGCTCCAAAGAATGCAGTGATGCTTCCACCTTTAGGTTTTTTCGAGTCAGGGGCGGAGAGATGCTCTGATTTTCTTTTTATGGCAGGGCTGGCCATGATGGATGGGTAAATAGGACGCTTGCAGAGTTGACCCCAGAAGTTCCAAGGTTGTCGGGGACTCCGGAGACGATAAGAGATCGACGCGCCTTCACGCGACGCGACTGATCTACAAGGCTGAGATGGGCTATGGTGATGAAATCTAGACGCTAGAATTAATTCGTAGAATTCTCAAAATTTGTGATATCGTAAAAATCTTTGCTGATTTACTGGTTTACTGATTTAATCAATACTAGCCACTACAAAGAGTCTGGACTTTGACATAGCGATCTACGGGAAATTGAACATAGCATCGAATAGAGTTCGGGTTCAGACAAAGAATACAAGATATGGAGTTACACATTCAAAAATCCAGTAAGCGCTTAAAGCTCATCGTGAACATCCTTCTCATCGGCTGCGGGAGACTCAGTGGCCTTGGGGGCAGCAGTGACCTCGGGACGCTCCTCGGGCTTCTTGGCGCCATCGGCCAGGCCGTCCACCTGATACTTGCCGTTCTCCTTGATGAAGGTGACCAGATCCTCAACGGTACGGGAACCAGCGTACTCAATAGGGGAGTCCTTAGCACCAGCGGGGTAAAGCTTGATGGTAGGGAAGCCAGTGATGGAATCGGGCACATCGTTGGCAGTGGCGTCAACCTTGGCGACAGTGACCTTCTCACTCAGCTCGGGGACATCGGCGTACAGGGCGGCAAGCTCTTCGTACTTGGGGGCAAGACTAGTGATAATAGGTTAAAGATGCGGGAAAAAAAGAGATGACAGATGAGCTGTAGAAAGACTTACGACTTGCAATGTCCGCACCAGGGAGCGTAAAACTCAACCAGGACATCCTTCTCATTGTCAATGACAACCTCCTGGTAGTTGCGGCCAACAACAACGGTAACAGATCCCTCCTGGGTCTCGGGAATGGGCTCGGACTTGAGGCTAGGGTCAACCTTGCCGTCGAGGACGTCCTTGATGAACTTGCCGACATCCTTGGCATCAACCTTCTTGGTCTGGTCATAAGGGTACTTGGCGTTCTTGGTGGTGTCCTGGATAGCGAAAGCAGGGAACTTCTCGGGCTCAAGGTTGAGGTTGCCAGCGTGAGCGCCGAAGAGCTTAGCATCAAGGGTAACAATGTTGATAGCTCCACGGTGGGTCTCAGCGATGGGACGGAAATCAGCAGCGAACTGCTCGCGCTCCTCGGGAGTCTCGGCGAAGATGTAAGCCAAGGGAATACCGGCCTAAATTGTTGTAGATAGTCAGTTTCTTTTCTTGCTCAAATACGGGACAGGAGCTAAAACATACCGCCATGTACTTTGAGTAAGTCTCGGGACCAAGCTCACCAACAAGAGGAGTGCTAGCGGTCTTGACCCATTCGAGGATTGCCTCATCCTCCAGCTTTCCGTCGTACACGGCCTTCTTCTCATCGAAGTCCTTGTAGAGAACAATGGAGGGCTGTTTGGCACCCTCGGCCTTAGCGAGAGCAGCGTCGTTCGAGGCAGCGAAGAGGAAGTTGTCACGCTGGGATTCAGCGAAGGAAGTGAAGCTCTTGTTGGCGGCCTTGTCATCAGAAGCCACGTATCCGATAATCACAATCTTGTCCAAGGCCTTGAATTCCTCCAGATTCTCCTCGTTCACATTTGAGACGGCGGGCATGGACTGCTTGGTCATGTATGAAATGATTCTGTGGAAGAAACGCGTTAATTACAAGCACAAGAATCAGGAACGTAGAATGACTTACGCGTCGGACTGGCGGGCACCAGCGTAGGGCTTGTGTGAATCGGGGCCACGGAAGACCTTCAGAGTAGGGTAGCCATCCACTTCATAGGTTCGGCACAGCTCCTCCTCCTCAGTGCAATCCACCTTGACCACGGGAATATCCTTGGCCTTCAGCTCTGTGGCAGCCTCTTCATATTTGGGGGCAAGGGCCTTGCAGTGACCGCACCAAGGTGCATAGAACTCAGCGAGCACCAAAGGGTGCTCCTTGACAAAGTCATCGAAGGTATCAGTTGTCAATGTGACGACATTGGCGTCGGCATCGGCAACTTCAGGTTCAGCAGCGTGGACTGCAGTAGCTCCAAGGAGGGTCAGGACTAGAGGGGCGAAAGACCGCATTGCAAAAAGATAAATCAAACAAAAGCCCAAAATGTTCAATGTTAGAAGGAATTAGAGACAAGCTTTAAAAAGAAGGAGGGAAGGTTTTATGGGGGGTGGAACTTGAGGACAGTTTGTTCACTAAAGGTGGAGCTCTGTGACTGGGCGATGCAGGGCTGCAAGGGATATTGTACCTGGTACCTCCACTACCAGGCTAATTTATGGGGACATTTGAGTACAAGGCACTTAATCCTTATAAATTAAGGTACAGGTACCCCGTATAGGTACACTCTATAATGGGAACGGACACATGCCCTTGCTATTTAGTATTGTTGACAAGTGGCCTTATTACTTTAACATGTTTCCACTTCTTGAGTTAGTCTACCAAATATACTGAAAGCAAAGAGAAAAGAAAAGAAAAAGCAATGCTGCTTGACACATCACATTAGTCTTCGATCGGGTCTGTGGTTTGAATGGTCCCATATTCAGATCCTTGCGATATCCCGTCCAATTCGACTCCCAACGCCAAGGCATCTCGTTTCCCACGGTCAACATCCACCAAAAGCATAAGTGGTAGTGGCACAATAATTAAAACTGCCAAGAACACAAATGCCGGTCGAATCTCACCGTAGCGATCCGTAATGGCGCCAACAATGGCTGGCCCAAAAACGCTAGACCCTTTGTCGGTGATTGCATAAAGCGCGTAGAAAGCCGCTTCGTAACCTGGGGGAATGAGTTGCCCGAAGAAACTTCGACAGTATGATGACAGTCCACCCATCACAAGGCCATAAACAGCCCCCAAAGGATACATTTCCCAAGGTTGATGGAGACCAAGACCCACACGCTGTACAGCCGGGATGAACCCAAGAAGACCATACAGTGGAATGAGCTCAAACAGGATGATGCACGCAATAATTGTCTGAGAGGCTCGTAGATTGAAAAAATTTGATATGTAGCTCCAGGAAAACGCACCGAATACCCCTGCAAGCATGACGATCACATTAATCAGTCCCAGGGCGGCAGGTTTCATGTTCAGTTGGGTTTTCGCAAACAGTACAGCAGTGCCACTGACAGTGGCAATTCCGTCACTGAGAAGAAACCAGGCAGCAAGGAAGATCATGATGTCTTTCAGTTGTCGCGCCCGCATCACGGTTTTCCCAAGAGATTTCCAGGCATAGACCATGTATCCGATCCACGAATGGAGCGGTTTGCCGTCATTACCTAATAAAGGCGGTCCTGGTCGAGTGCGCAGCCACAAGGCTGCCGGGATGGTGAAAACGAACCACCATAACCCAATTAGGAAGAGCACAAGGCGTAATGAGAATGTTGGTGGACGCACGACCACAACAACTAAAATAGAAAATACCTGTAGAACCACTGCACCGATGTAGCCTATACCGATGCCATTGGACGAGATGCTGGTGGAAAGTCTAAGCTCGAGAGAAGTGATAGAGCCAGCAGACGTTTTTGTGATATCCCTATTAGGCCCGAGTAGCGGCGTGGAGTAATCGACATTTGTTCGGTCAATATCTCCGGTCGAATAAAATAAAGGGCCGCTGGGGCTCGTCACATTACCACCTGACGGCGTCGCCGCTTCACTTTCCTTGAGCAATGGGTGGTGGCGGACGAGAACAGGCAGAAACGAGTTCAACAGGACAAAAGACGCACCAAAGCAAGTATTTGAAATGATTGCAAGCAGCCCACCTAGTAGGTAAACTTTAGGGACCACAAACAAAAACAACATAGTCGCAATTGAACCAATGAAAGCAAAAACAACCAAGAGTTTCTTGCGATAGGTTCCATGGTCGGCGGCTCCTGACATTGAAATGATCAGGACTGCCTGAACCAAGACGCTCAACGAAAAAGTGTATAGGGCAAAGCTTGCAGTGTTGATTTCAGCGCCGAGAAAGTAGATGATACACTGACCGCCATCTGACACCTGGGGAAGATATACCGGTGCATCCGAGCCTGGTGATGGCAGTGAGGGGGTCCAACTTGCGCTGCATGGTGTGGCTTTGTCAGACAGCAAAACGCCCCGATCCCGAGCCATTTGCTCTAGCGTTATCGGAAGAAATGAACCTTTCTCAGATCAGATAAAGTCTAGGACGAAGATCCATGAGAGTAGAATCACACATACCCATGGCACATACTACAAAAACCTCGGCAGCCCAGCCATAGCAATACCAGCCAGCGAGCTCCCTCTTGCTGGTCGGCCGGGTGTCATCACCAGGATATTGAGGAAGAGACTCAACATTCCCCTGTATACTCATGACAAGGGAAAGCTAAATGGCCAGAAATAAATCAAATGAGGAGGCATACAGTGAGGGAATAAAGAGTTGAAAAGTTGGGTTAACGATGCTCAGATGGTAGTGATTAAATGGGTAAAGAGGTGAAGTCATATGAGAGCCAATGTTGACTTTCTGGAGTGAGGCCTCTTACAAGGTATGGATACCAAGAAGTCACTGAGAACCTCAGGGCCAGTATTAAGCTATACTGTATCGGTTGTAGTGATACTTCCAATAATACACCATTTAATACCAATATCGTATATATAATACATCACAATACCAGGCATCAAGGCATCAAACAGAAGGCGGTAGGATAATGCATGCAGCGCATCGCGCTTTGATCAACCCGTCTCGGGCTTGAGATATTGACCCAGTCCTCTTCTGGGCACTCATTTTCTTCCCTCCTTCTTTTCCAGACTCATGAATCTTTAAATTCACCTCAGTCAGTTACTTTGCCAGTTACTTTGCCCTTCGCTTCCTACCAGCCCACGTTGTTTTACTTCCTCGCATTGCGACAATCCTGCTATCATCCTTGAAATACCTAGATCCCCGATCGCATATCTCGTCACAGCTAGTTTCCAGACAGATTGAAGTTGAAACCTGGGCGATCCGGTGCTTTTTTTTTTTCTCTCACTAATTCCGATCCCGATCCGTTGCCATCCACGCCCGAGCCTCGACCGACCATTTGAGGCCCATTCGAATCCTAAGCTGTGCGCCAAGCTCCTCCGATTATGAGCGTGGCCTTCTGTTTGCACGGTCCATGAAACGCATGGCATAAGATTGAGGACCTACCTGTGGCCTTATCTTTGATTTCAGCTTCCCTTCCTACCCCAGCGCCGACTGGCTCGAGCCAACAGTGCCTATATTGCGTCGCTTGTTCTGTGCCGTGCAGAGGGCCGAGGAGGGGAAAACTTCGACAGACAATTATAGAGCAGCTAGGCTGTACTTCTAGAAATGCCCGGCGTCGTCATGGACAATGTCAACATCGAGGGATCTGTCGGGCGGCCAGGCCTCAATGAGGCCAGGAATGGTGCGCTTGATGTGTTTCATAATTCCGATAAGTCTGGTCATCTCTCCGGCATGAATGGATCGGTTCATGTCAATGGCACATCGAGCGGGACTGCTGCTTCAAATCAACATTCAAGAACGCTCGCAGATAAGGCAATGGAAATCATGCCGACAACGCCCTTTAAACTGCCACATATCACACAGGGATTCTTTCCATTCGGGACATTGGTCAATCGTTCAGTGCAGGAATGTTGGAATGAGCTTTCGGAGTTGATTACAGAATTGGCTACGATACAAGTGCCAGCCTCGGGTGGTTCGATCAATGGAAAACCAGCGGGCAACCAGTCATCGGAGAATGTGCATAAGAAGTTGCGATTGTTGGGTTTTGCCCATGCTAAGAGAGCCGAGTTCATCAAACTCCTGGTCCTCTCGCAATGGAGTCGACAAGCTGCAGATGTTAGCAGACTCATTGATATCCAAGGGTTCATTCGCACTCGACACCAATCATACGACGCAGCTCTCCAGTATGTTGGTGAAGTGAAACGAGATCTTGTCCGAGCACAAGTCGCCAACCCGGATTTAAAAACAGCCGTGGAGGTATTATCAAAGGGACGAGTAGCCTCTTTGCCAGATGTGAGTTTCCCCAATAGATTTGCAATTTGCACTACTCTAACATATTTACCAGCTCGGCTACAAACCTCCCACGCCACTGACAGCACGAGCAACACTCAAGAAGCTACTCAAACTCAATCGAATCATCAGCGTGCGATTGGCATTACACGATTCAGTGCCGGTCCCACTACGCAATTACCAAGTCCATGATGGCCGGGTAACATTCACGATTTCTGGTGAATTTGAACTTGATCTCTCAGTCGCGGAAGAGTCAAAGGAATCACAGTTTTTCTTCGTGGACATTCGCTTCCTTTTCTCGCCATCATCACCTATCCCAAAAGGTCGAATATTTAATGAACTTGATGCTAAGATCAATGATCTTCTCCGTGATGATGGCCTGATGGGGTGTTTCCAATTTCTCCACGGTCTCGTTCTTACGAACAAAATCAACATTCTCTTCAAGCAAGCCGTGGACCTTTCTCGAGGCCTCTGGGCAGATGCGTTGCGTATCGAGCTTTTACATCGAACACTTGTCATTCAATATTGGCCTCAGAGATCAGGACCGAAGAGCTGGCTCGAAATCGGAGTCAAGAGTGGTCACCGCAGTGGCAGTTCTAGCGACCCGAAGCCTGGGATATCTCACCTCGGCTTCCGATGGATGCGTGACGGTCAGCAGGTCAGCAGCGATGCCATCAGGTTCAACTCGGGTGATCTATCTATGGAGCTTATTCTGAGAAGCGTCATCGCATTACACACGTCGCACCTTCTCTCTGCCGCATTCACCACCCTCAAAAAGCATATTCTTTTCTCGAATCACACACTATCACTACAGGCTTCACTATCGCCAACAGAACCCGGAGATTGCCGCCTTGATGTGCAACTCACAGCCTCCCGTTCTCTTCGGGTTTCTATCGAGCCTATGTCAGGGTCCATTACCCTGTGTGGGACACCACATGTGTTGGAACGTCTCGATGGTGACCGAGGGCTTTATAAATCATCAATAGAAGAGATATTATCTCGTGTCGCCCGGCTGCGGTGTATCACTGCAGTGGACGAGATTGACTCCGGAACAAAGGCACTCGGTCTCGAACCTGTGAACCAAAGAGTACTAGGGCTTGATCCCCGCAAGCTGTTCCCTCCTGGTGTAATGCGGACCGCTTTCTTCACCCATCGGCTTTGGAACCGGCACTGGGTCGCTGCAGCGACCAGTAGCATGGATGGTGACCGCTGGTGGCTTGTTCAACTTCGACCAACCGACGCAGTGAAAATGGGTCCATTTTATAGTATCGGCGATCATAGCATGAGTGTTCCACAGGCCCACATGGTCAGTGAAACCCTCGTTCCTCCACAGAGGCAACTCAACTACACAACGTGCGCCGATCTGGTCCATGGTCTCACTGGAATCCTGGCGATCCATGCCAATGCGCGCTATCTGGCAGATTTGCCAGCCATGCATTTCTGGCCATCATTGAAAGAATTGCAGTTAGAAACGGATCTCACAGTCCCAGATCTCTTATTCAACTACAGCTCGTCCACGCTTCCATCTGCTTTCCAGGTTACGTTGCCCCTCGGGGTAAAAAAGCAGTCGCAATTCAAGGAAATGATTCGACTGGCGTTCCACGGAATTGACAGCCAGAGCCACTCTGTCATAGTGATGGCTCACGGCACTTTGAAAACCCGCATCAAGTCCTTGGTCCCGCTCGTCTCAAAGATGGATACTTCGTTGATCATTGAAGACAAGGGTGCTGGCTTCGCGCTTCGTTTGCTTGTGCCAGCTGGACATTCTGTCGTCGCTTGTTTGTTTGAACTCTTACAGCGACTTGAATGTGTTCTCTCTATTCTCCAGTCCCTCATACGGAAGGGAATGGAGCCCCGATCTTTGTCCTTATCGAGAATCGATTTTGCCTACGGGCCCGAAAACAAATTTTTTGCTTTCTTTGATATCAGCGCCGAGGGGCCTTCTTTGTCTGACTTCGTTGACGTTGCAGATGCTATCTCGAAGACTAGGCCTCTTTTCCGACTGAAACTGGGCATCAAATTCGAAAGTTCCAGCCCTCATCGCCGGATTCAAGAGCCCCTCAGCGTGGCTTTGAACCAGCGGTTCACTGAAGCTGGTGTTGAATCAACCCTCCAACTCTTAGCTACCACGCTTCCTCTACTGCGGTCATTGGATCAAATTACACAGTCGAATCAGACAGATCTGTCAATTGTGCAAATCATCGCGCGCAAACCGACTGTATACCTGATTCACTATCCTCGACTGAGGTCTCGTTTCCACTTGAGTGCAGTGATGCACCAGGACCGGTTGGTCTGGATGTTAAGGGACGCCAACGGAATGGATCAGTCTGGTCGGACCCAAATCGCAGCTTTTATACAAGAGAAACTCTACCAGTCGAAAGGGGATGGTTGGAATGGTCTTGGGGATGGAGTGGTAGCGAGTATCAACAAGGTTGGAAGCCTCATACTCGAGATGCACGAGTGCCTTAACGCCTCCCATATTCAACTCGACAGAGAAGTGGAAGTCAACCCCGAGCAAATCCCAAAACAATTGCACATCCAGGGCTCGATACCTGCCGCTCCACAAGCCAGAGGAAATACCGATGTCATAACCATTGACTAAGCATTGTGGTGATGCCGACCTTGGGAGGTCCGTCCATAATTTCCATATCCGATCTAGGGCTTCGACGTAGCTCAAGACCTATTTTGAGCCTTTTCCATTTTAATGCAAGAGCAACTACAGTGTTCTCTTCATGATGTATTCCTAGGTCTCGAATATGACATAGCATCTAAATTTATTTCTGTTCATGATGCGTAAAATTTAATTAAATCGTTCCTTCAACCAGCTTAACAACGCTCTTCCCTGATCTTCCCTCGGTTGCGTAACACATCATACTCGACCCATCTGGCCATGGGAGTACCACCTTCCGGTAGCAAACGCCCGGGGTTCATGACATGACAGCCCTCATATGTCATACAGAACGGTGCAGCCTCGGGGTCTGCAAGTACCAATGCGGTTGGCAGCGGGTACAACTGTATGGCCGAGGCATGGTCCCATAATACGGGCCGCAATGGTAACGGAAATGGGGAGATGGTTCCTTGGTCCAAGATGGTCTTGACGAGTCTGCGGGCCATTGACGCCCCAGACGAGGCGGTTGCAACATTGGTGCCCTGTTGCTGGCCCATATCTTCGATCTGGCTCTCACGCGCAGCAAAGATCGCATCGCCAGCAGGACTGCTCGAGGGCTCATGTATTGTAACATCTGACTCGTTGTCAAGGGTAGTGTTGACAGCGCTGCGTCTCAGTCTTCCCGAGATATCATCTCGAAAGATGGCGATGTCATGCACTGGCCCGAACCATGAAAGACGTGCCGGATTCGAGGTCCAAATTGCATCACCCGCGGGTTCGGGAGTTTGTGACCTATTCAATTCTGAGTTTGCTGTTGCAAATGCACGTTTTACTCGAGAGGTGAACAATTCCGGGATTGGTTGTCGTGGTACCGCTGAGGCTGCACCAGCAGAGAATGCCGATGCCCAAGGATCATTATCACCTGGCACAAAAACAAAGGTCGAGTGTTGTAGCAACGCTGGGAAATCAGATAAAACCAGCGCCAACGAGTCGAAGTATTCCTTGTATTCGATACTCCCGGCTCGGCCACCTCCACTGATGATAGCTTTCTGCGCAAAATTGCCGATCAAGACAAAGGCTTGTGGGCGTTCAGTAAGAGACAGATCATTGTAGGTACTGAAAACCTTCTTCAGAGCATCCAGTGTCTTCATGTTGTCTAGGTTGATCTCACTCATGATAGCGACTTTGAGCTTGGTCTTCTCTGGTACGTCCTGGTCCCCTCGTAGGCACTTTTCCTGGATTCTTCTCATTCGTGCACCCTGGGCACGTTCACTTCCCAATCCG